TGGGGACTTTAACATCACCCGGCATGTGCGAGACCAGTCAGGGAGGAAGCAGAACCAGGCTACCATGGGCATCCTTGGGGAGATCCTGATGGACTATTCCCTGGTAGATATCTGGTTTGCCTGTCACCCTATCAACCCCCAAGCCTTCACCTATATGAAGGTGGGAAAGGAGCAGGCATGCCAATCCTGGTGGGACCAAGTTTATATCTCTTTGCTGCACTTTGCCTGGGCCCACTGCTCTGGCATCTGGTAGACCCCTTTCAGCGATCACCACCTTGTCTGGGCTCAAGCCACGCTAGGTCATGGATGTCTGGTGTTGGACTACTGGCATTTCAATGCCAGTCTGATGGAGGATGTGGGCTTCAGGAAGGCCTTCCAGGAGTTCTGGTTGGCTTGGTGAGAGCAACAGGCAGCTCTCTCCTCAGCTCAGAGATGGTGGGATGTGGGGAAGGTGCGCAGCTCCACTTGGGGGCACACCCGGCAGAGGGAGGCAGTCCAGGATCAGCTCAATAGGGAAGTGCTAGAGCTGGAGAGGTGCTTGACCACCAATCCAACCAACCCATCCCTCTGCAGAGTGTCGGGAGAGGAAGGAAGAGCTTCGTGCTCTGCACGACTACTGCACCCGTGGTGCATTTGCCTGCTTGCACGTCCAGCAGGAGATGAACCATGGCTCCCACTTCTTCCGTGCCCTGGAGAGGAGGCAGGGGCCCAAGAAGTATATCCCCTGCCTCTGGCAGGTGATGGCACCTGCCCCCTGCCTCCGTAGGAGAATGAGAAAGGGCTTCAGGGCCAAGGCATACAGCTGGCCTGACAGCAGGCAGCCTTGATGCACCCCTCTCCTGAATGGGATGGGCTCTGTCAAGGTTCAGATGAGCTTGGCCAAACACTACAGAGGTGTAATGCACCTGAAGAGCCAACACAAAGTGGGGCCTGAAGCCAAAGTCCCAAAGAATGCCCCTGAGATGCCCATGAGATACCCAAGCCAGCAAATAATAGTAAGTAGAGGCAGAAAATGGCCTGGCCATCTTCTCCCCAGAAGCTCCCGAGGCCAAGCATGCAGCAACCAGCAACAGCAGCAGCAGCCTGGGACAGGAAGGGGTGTGTCCAACTTCCTCCCAGAGGCTCCTCCCCCAGAAATTCCTGAAACTGAGTAGCTCTGAGCTACTTGTCAGGGCAGCTTTGTGTATTGATGGGGCCAGGACAGGCAGCTTTTTACACTAATGGGGCCAGCACAGGTGCTGGCCCCAGGCTCTAGCTCCTCCTGGCTGCAGATCTGGGAGGAGCCAGGCCAGGTTATTTTTCCTCAAGTGGCACAATTTGCCCCAAACCAAAGTGCATGTCTGGACATGTGCCTTGAGGCAAAAAGCCATGGCTCATATTTGCATCACTTCTATTTGAGCTGCTGTGAGTGCACATGGTTGCATGTGTGGACATGCCCTTAGGGATGCTTATCGGGATGGGCAGTGCTGATGAGCACTGATATGCCAGTGTCCTTCCCCTGACCTTGCCTCTCACTCTCAACACACAGTCTACCCCTCGCTCCTGACCTATAGGGCCAGATATGTGGTTGAGGGGTTTGTGGGGGTGGCTTGGAGGTGTAGGGTTTGTGGGTGGATTGTGGGGGGACTGTGAGTGTGGGGGATTGTGTTGTTGAGCCCCAGCTCAAGTCTGGGATCGTGCCCGGTATGCAAAAGCCAATAAAGATACCTGGGGTAAAAGTATAAGGATTTATTGCTAGCAATACAAGGTGCAAGCGGAATAATTTCATGTAACAAGCACACAGATTCTTAATTCTAAGCATCTTTTATACAGGAGTATTGGACCTTCATAAGCATTCTTGTTTGCTAATTGGTTATAAGGGAGTGACGCAAGGAGTTCTTTACTGAGCATGTCTCTATACCTGTGTTTTAGCTATGTATCTCATTTACATACATGTATGTTTCATTAGCATACTTTCTCCCCACCTAGGGGTGTGAATCTTAATATTTAAATCAGCTCTTTGCCCTAGTCCACTGATTCTGCTTTTGTTTTCAAGCCTCCTTTATCTAAGACTGTCTCCTCCTTATCATTGCAGATGGGCATTAGTTACATAACAGAGACTTTTGCTTGGGCTATGTGTAGTGGTTTCTAGGTCAAACCTGACAGTGTGGGGGGGCTTCTCAGGAGGGATGGGTTCCCTGCCCCCTGCAGGGTGCAGCCCCCCCCACACAGCTCATGGACTTCCCCCCTACAGGGGCCACAGCACCTCCACACAGGTCCACAGCACCCCCCACAGGGCCACAGCACCCCCATCCTAGCCACAGCCCCACAACAGGACCCCCCACAGGGCCAAAGCTCCCCTCTGACAGGGTCATAACCCCCCCAGCAGTGCCCACACTCTCCCCCCTGCAGGGGCCAAAGCCTCCCCACAAGACCCAGAGCTTACCCACAGCAGAAGCAGCCATTGGGGCAATCAGACCCTCCTGGAACAGCCCCCCTGGCATGGGGTGTGGCATGGGGCTGCGCAGCTCATTCCCAGCTGCCTGGCACCTATGCTGCCTGTGCCCCATCACACAGGCTCGGCCTGGCTCAGCCTGACCCTCAGGCTGCTCTGCCTTCACATGGGGCCCCACACTGCTTTCAGGACCATGTGTTGGGCTGGACTGGGTCCTGCACCAAGCCAGGCCAAGCTGGGCTTATGTGATTGGGCACAGGCAGTTCTAGGTGCCAGGCAGCCGGGGCCAAGTCTCACTGCCTGCATCACATGATGGGTCTGTTCCAGGAGAGCCCTGAGGCTGGATGGCCCTGCTGCTGGGGGGGGGGGAGCTGTGGGCCATGTGGAGGGCAGGCAGGGTATGCACCCATCCTGAGAAGTGCCCCCTACAGTCACCCTCACCCCCCAGTCCCTTGCACCCAACAGCCCTGGCTCCAGTCCCTCCCACCCCCAGTCTCTACTTGCCTGGTGATGGAGCCTGGGTCCAGGTCCCTGCAGCCTGCACCATTCTGAGTAGCCATAGAGATGCTCTGGCCAGCTACCCCAGCCTCTGGTTGCCTTGCTTTTTTCTGTGTTTTTTGTTTTTGTTTCTGTTTTTTTTTTGGGGGGGGGGGTTGATATCTGGATATCCAAATGTGCAGCATTGGGAATGTTTTTTTGTTTTGTTTTGTTCCCAGCATACTTTTTGCCACATCTCAAATGGCTTTGAGATGTGGCAAGAGGCACATGTGGGCTCATCTGGATGGATCCCTAGAGTGCATCCTCACATGAAGGGGCATGCACTTGCAGTGGCCAAAATACCAGCAGCACAAACTCATCTGGCTACTCTTTGCCTCAGCGCATACCCTTTGCACATGGACTTGATGGTGTGTGAATTACCCTGCTTCAGACAAACTGCCTTTTTCCCACTTCTCCTGCCTCTCGGCATGATGGAGGAGCCAGAGCAAAACTAAAGGAGTGGAGAAGCAGCCAGAGGACTCCCTGGAGAACCAAGCCCCTGTGTCTGCATACACCCACTCCTGTTGCATATGCCACACTACTTTTTTCTCATCATTTTTAAAATGTATTTATATATTGTGCTACCTGTATTTTGCGGTAACAAAATTTGCCCCCAAACTGCAAATTAGCAGCATGGTTCATATGTTAACATTTTTGGTGTGCGGTTTGTAATATCACAAAGAGATTTGCAGTGCCACAGACCACACATGCCTGTGCATGTGGATGCAGCCATAGGGTGTGTCCAGATGAACACAGACATGCAGCATGCAGTGCAGCAGACCTATATGTAGTTTCACATACTACACATGCCACACATGCAGACATTCCCTGCACTGTTACTTTGCAATGCAGGGAGACTTTTTGACCCAGAAGATCAAAACCAGGACCTAGCATGTCAGAGCTACACTCTAGCTGCTGGCTATGCTCCCTGTTCCAGAAGCATCACCATTGCTGCAGCTTCTGAAGGTCCCCAGGACCCCAGGTAAGGCTGCTGGAGTCAGCACAGTGTAGTCATGCGCAGTATGTCATAACTATTCTGTGTCAAAACATTCTGATATCTATGTTGAGACTGTCAGATAAATATATTATTTTTATGAGGAAGTGTCGCAGAACATTGAGGTTCCCTGCTCCTAAAGAGGGGAAAACTGCTAGGGAAAGACTGCTTGGGAAAGAGCCCTAGCAGTGAATAAGGAGCCTAGCTGTTGGTTGCTAGGACAACCAGAGGAGGTCAGCTGACCAGAAGGGGCAGGGCCTGGCTCCCATATAAAGCCTAGGGGCTGAGGCTGGAGGCAGTTCCCTGCCAGGAGCCCAGGTGGAAGGAGTTCTCTGCTGTGGAAGAGAAGAGAAGCAAAGCCTGATGAAGGAGCAGTGTCTGACACGGCTGTGAGATGAAGAATCTCCGGTAGGCTTGAGCGTGATTATAGCTGGGCGGCTTCTGTTTATGTTATAGCCTAGGGGCTTGTGTTTGTGTTACTGTTCCTCACCAGTGGTTTGGGTGAGGCTATTAGGGGTTGGAGGAGGCCTCATAGGGGACCCACAGCAGAATGGGGACCCCAGCGCCAGTGAGGGCTAGGCATTGTGGTGAAGCCCCAGAGAAGGGGGCAGCATTGTGGAAAAGCCCCAGTGCGGATGTGGTGAGCCCCTGAGAGAAGGGCAGCTTTACTGACAGGCTACGAGACCTGAACCTGTTCAGCCTTCACAAGAGAAGGCTGAGGGGGGACCTTGTGACTGTCTATAAACTCACTATGGGGGACCAGAAGGGGTTGGGGGACACCTTGTTTCCCCTAGCGCCCCCCCGGGATAATAAGGAATAATGGCCACAAGTTGTTGGAGAGTAGTTTTAGATTAGACATCCGTAGGAACTACTTCACAGTCAGGGCGGCTAGGATCTGGAACCAACTTCCAAGGGAAGTGGTGCTGGCTCCTACCCTGGGGGTGTTTAAGAAGCGGCTTGATGCCTACCTGGCTGGGGTCATTTGAGCCCAGTTTTCTTCCCCAGGCAGGGGGTCGGACCTGAATATCTACAAGGTCCCTTCCGACCCTACTTCTATGATTGTATGATTGAGAAGGCCCCTGAGAGAAGGGTAGCTTTACTGAGAAGGCCCAGTGCGGGCACAGTGAGCCCCAGAGAAGGGGGCAGCATTACTGAGGAGGCCCAGAGAGGGGGTGGCATTACTGAGGAGGCCCCAGAGAAGAGGGCACATAGTGAGAGAGGGCCAGGGAGAGCCCTAGAGCTGGAGAGGGTGCATATCAAACGAAGGAAGGCCCAGAGAGGACAAAAAGGGGCCAGACTGTAATAAGGCTAAGACATAACGTCCATTCCACCGGCGAGGCGTGGGCTGCGGTGTAGGGGAGGAAACGGAGCCGCAGATAGGGCCCCCTGGCAGCAGGGCAGTACAAGGGCAGCCTCCCACTAATTAACATCAATTAATCAATTAACAGCAAGGCATGGCAGGAGAGAAGGCAGGCGGGGGCCCCAGGAACAGGAGTTCGGGCCACGTTTAGATTGGCCCAGAGCGGATACCTGTTACAGGAAGAAAATTACTTTAGAAAAAGGCCCCCCAAACCTCTTCTATGACAAATCAATATACCTTAAGTTTTCCCACTTCATTTATTGTTTGATGAAGGTAGAGGAACCATCCTTGACTTTTAAATCAAGGCTATGCTTGTGAACCTGCACATCCAACTCACTGGCATTTGTCCATCTGCCTGCATTTATGTAATATAATGTTTGAATAACACATCTGATCCATTCCAAATTTTTAGAGAAAGTTCAAGATATCAGTGGGCAGAACTATGTTGATTATGAAAAAAATCTGAAATTGAAAAGGGGGAATAATGTAGGTATTAGGGGTGTGCGAAGTGGGACCTATTCAATTCAGATTCAGGCCAAATCAGGGACAGTGATTTGATTAGTTGATTTGGATCACTGTCCCTGATTCAATTCAGCTGAATTCAAATCTGAAGATTCAATGCTGATTTGGAGAATCAGCAATTTGGACATAGACACAGCTTTAATTTTTTTCTACATAACTTGAGGTAGCAGGCACGGCTCATGATTTTGGCGATGTTGGGAGAGATGGAGCATCCCACAGTAGTCTGGGGGGGGTGCCCTCCATGTGCTCGGCAGTGAACCCAGAAGTGGAGCAGAAGTACTTCTGGTCCACTTCTGGGTCTGCTGGGGAGTGTGCCCCCTTGCTCAGCAATTGGCTGCAGGGGGGCCCCAGGTACCTCCCCCCCAGACCCAAGACATACCAGTTGCTGAGCTGGGGAGTGTGGGGTGGGGGGTTCTGTGCACTCCCCAATGAACCCAGAAGTGGACTGGAAGTGTTTCTGGTTAACTTCTGGGTCTGCTGCTGAGAGTGCTGGGGAGTCCTCTGTGCTTCTGTGGGATACCCCCATGGACGCCAGCATCACAGCATTCATGAGCCCCTGCTACCTAGAGGGTTGTAGAAAAAATATTTAAAGTTGTCTCTATGTCCAAATATCCGAATCTTTCTGAATCTCCCTAAACTGATTCAGAGAGACTAAATGGTCCTCTAATTCAATTTGGATTTGGAATTCAGCCACCAAATCGGGCCGAATCTCTGCCAAATTGAATCAGGGACCGAAGCTTTGCACAGCCCTAGTAGGTATCACTGAGCCCTTGTAATTTGTTTAAAATGATACACCTTCTAGCACTTCTATAATGCTTCTTCTCAAGCCATTGAGTAAGAGGAAAGGAGAAACTTGGGCATGCATGCTTTTAACATGAGAACTGGGGCATGAACCCTTTGTATAGGAACAGGACTTGGAGATCCTAGTATAGCAGGAACCAAATGTAAAGAACAAACCAAGCTCCTAGCAAAAGGAAGATCTAGGGAGAGTTACAGGAGGAGAATGAGAATGTGGCACATGGCAATATAGTAGTGTATATAAGGAAGGAATGCATGGAGTCCATGAGTGTTACCTGCAGAAACACTAAAGTATGTAACTCCCTTTGTACAGCACTCAACAGCACCTTTGTGCAGTTGTTCAATACAAAATAGATGTAAACATTTCCTTTTTCATAATGATATGGAGCTTGGATAACAAATGTTAACTCTTTTTTGGTTTACTGAAAATGTTAAGTAATGATTTTGATTATGATGGTGGTTAAGTTTCTATTAAAAATACGTTCTTGAAAACTGGAAATGGACTAATTTTGAGCCATACAAAATGGAAAAAGGTTAGAAATTCCTCATGAAACTGTCCAATTATCTCAAACACAGATAACTAAAATGACAAATTCCCAGATTTCACTCTGTCTTACAGGATGCAATGAATATGAGGTCCTTTCCAGCATTATGATTCATGACATAATCCATTTATTTTGAGCCGGGCAAATATACCAGGTGATGATATAAGTCCAGCATTTCTTAGAGGCAGTGAACATCAGAGTTGGACAGCTTTGCCTTATATTAGGGTGCTTGCAACCAGATTCAAACCTATATCTGTATCTCATGGCCTTCTCTCTTGAATAAGCATGCCAACTGCTGACAATATTCAGATGATTTAATTTATTGTAAGCAAAATACATAGAGGAAAGTTATTTTTTTAAAGTATTGCTCTTTTGTATTGCACACATTCATGCATACACACATCCATATGCACAAACATTCTCTCTCTCTCTCTCTCTCTCTCTAGAGTATTACGGCTAGAAGAGCCAATTCTATTGCTATTTACATCAATATTAACCTAGAGTCACTTCACTAATATCCTCTAGAGATATCCCAGAGTCAGAATTGAGACACAAGTTTGCAAAAGTAGCAATTAAAGATTGCCCTACCCACAAACCTAATACTTTACTTGGCCATCCTCTGTTGGCCAACAATTTATTCACCTTCTACATCCTTAAATAATTGCATTAGTTCTGAACTGCTAAATGTTTGGAAGACTACTTCATATTTGTGGAGAAAGATCCTACTTTATTCTAGACAGCAGCTAAACAAATGGAAATTTCTCTTAGTTTTTTGAACAAACTGATGTTTGCCTGGTGGAGTTTCTGCACTGGGTAATGGAAAGAGAACTATTTTTTTCTGATTAGCCTGGGAGCACAGAGAAAATGAGCCATCAAGCAGGGGGCCATTGCACTTTAGTACAATCATTGACTTTTCAGAGCTGCATCTAAGGCAACCATTGAAATATAAACAGAAAATGTGCTGATTGTTGTTGTGTTGTTGTTGTTGTTGTTGTTGTTGTTGTTTCTGGAAACTGAATCCTGGCAATAATATTGTGCAAAAAAAAAAAAAAACATTCAAGAAGAAAATACAAGGCATTTATTTACCCTCCAATTTTTTATACTATTTCTTTACACAAGTCTCTTTGTCATTCATTGATGACAAAACTGGCACTGGTTTGCTTTTTACCAGGTACTTCTGTTTAATAAACCTGCTTCCTCCTCCAACAACAAGTGTGGCCCAGGAGGTTATGAGAGTAACAGCAAGGTGCAAATATGTTTCTCTTCCAGCATATATATATTTGGATGAGAAACATATTTGCACCTTACTGTTACAGTCATAACCTCCCAGGCCACAGGTGCTGTTGGAGAAAGAAGTAGGTTTATTGACAGAAGTACATGATAAAAAGGAAACCAGTGCCACAGTTTTGTCATCAATAAATGCAAAAGAGATTTGTATAAAGAAGTAATATAAAAATCAGAGAGTAAATAAATACCTTGGATTTTCTTCTTGGTTGTTGGTGTGTGTGTGTGTGTGTTTGTTTGTTTTGTTTTTTTTGGGGGGGGGGGGGTTGCACAATATTGTCAGGATTCAGTTTCCAGTAACCCACAGAAACAGCAACAAAATAATCAGCACCTTTTCTGTTTATATTTCAATGGTTTTATAATTGCTTTCATCCTCTCTGAGACCATATAGATCTATCTATCTATCCATCCTCAAAGAGGATGAAAGCAATTATAAAAGCACTAATCTGACCTCAGAGCCCCTTGGAGATACTTGGTCTTAAAGTAATTGAAGTAACTGAAAAACTCTTAAAGGTTTCAATGGTTTAGGTCATGCCTTTGGAGTGTTCCCCAATCAGTCATTTGGAGTTCCTTACCCAAAGAGACAGAAGGACCAAGCCCTCAAATGTAGAAAATAAAACTAATTATATTTGGATTGTCCATAGATACTTTCAGCTAACTGGAAACCTCAACAAATTGTTTAGACAATGTTTTAATTGTTTGAAATGAACTACCTTGTCTTTGTGATCACTCATGGCAGCTACAATACAACAATGCCCCAGCAATCACCAATATTAGAAAAATCAGAGAGCAGACTTATTATTCTGCTCTATTTTATTCAGACAAATGCAATGGAATCTTAAGACTCTGAAGGCCACATTGCACTATAAGAAGTTATACCAAGCTTTTGTGAGACATGGAGTATTTGCTCACTGAAGGCTTATGCCTGAATAAGGAACAGTCAGGCCCTTAAGCATATGATCATCTCTGCCCATAAGGTTAGGCCATCTAACATTAGGTTTGTATGAATAGGAACTATTCAATTCAGGTTTAGATTTGGCCAATTCAGATACCAGAAACTCGATTCGGAGCTCCAAATCAATTTTTCACTTCGATTCAGAGATTCGGCCATAGGATATAATGGGGAATCAATGAAATATCTATAACTTTGTTTTCTGTCTGATTCAGATGACACGTACAGGGATGGTAGCCCCTGCTGAGGCCACAAAAACCTGTCAAGTTTCAAGGAGATAGGCACTGGGGTTTGGGGGAAACTGCACCCCAAATTCCAGAAAGCAAAACTCATGTCATGTGTACGTGTTGCATACCTCAGCCTGTCCCTCACCCCCTGATGCCTCCATTTCTATTTTCACTGACTGGCTTTCTTGCCTGCACTGCATGCCAGGCCAGCCTCTGGCTTCTTTACTATGCCTTCCATCCAGGAGCTACTGCAGGTACTTCCTCAGCCTGACAAAGGGTTTTTCAACCTGAAAACTGGCATCCCAGGCAGCTAAACTGAGCTCAACAGGAGCCTCACAACTGCACTACAAACAGCAAGAATCAGGCCTGTCAAAGACATGACAGGTCTGGGCATTCCCGAGCCGTGTGTGTGTGTGTGTTAGCTGGAGGTTATGGCACATCCTACCTGCCTTTCACTAGGGGATCATTGATCCTGGCATTTATGGGACTGCAACACCATCAGCAGTCCCACCATGCCTCCCTACCCTGGCAGGGTGCAGTTTTAGTGATCATGCTCAGACCTTGGGCCTCCTCCTTCCCCAAAGCCCCAATACCATACCTCCAAGTTCATCCTAGCAGTGGAATGAGATCAGCAGGGACATGTTCTTCCCCTGCTGGCTGGTAATGCAGTCAGTGCCCCCTCTAGCTGAAAGTGGGACATTACTTGGCTTTTAAAAAAACTCAAAAAAGGAAATTGGTGCAGATGGAGTGACGAGGGTGGCACTCAGTCCATCTGCAGGTGGAGCTTGGGGAACCCCAGGAGCAGGAGGTTCACCTTTAGGAACACCAGCTGCTTCATCAAA